GATTGATGTCCTCACTAAGGCACGAAAACGAGTGTCTGTGTGTGTGTTTACCCGTCCTGAGGCGTCCACATCCAGCCGCAGAGGAGTTGGGGTGAAGCGTGGGCGGGGTGAAGGTGGTGGAGGGGTGGAGCCTAAGCCCTGCTCGACCACAAGGCGTGACTCCTTGTGGTCGAGCAGCCGGACATTAGCTTGCGTCTGGTGCGTGGGTGAAGGCGGGCCGCTGTGCAGCACGTGCTGAGCCAGCATATGGGTGTTGTCCTGAGAGTGGACTCCACCCCTCTCGCTTTCCCGGCCAATCATCTCCAGGGACTCCAAGGAGTGGGCGTGTCTCATGCTGTCCATCACCCGCCTGAACCCCGGGCCTTCCTGCCGCTCCGTGAACTCTGTGCACATCCATCGCCCGCGACGATACGATTCACCCCGGCCGCCGCCGCCGGCTCCGCTCACTAGTCTCACCACCCTGAACCTGGAGGAAGACCCCGCCCCGTGCCCGCCATCGAGGGAGATGTACTTCCTCTTCAGAGAGGGCGTGGTTGGCTGGGAGGAGCTTCCCTGAGGGCTGCAGAGGGGGGGCTGCAGAGAGACCTCTGATTGGATGATGGGCAGGACAGCGCTAGGAGACAATTGGTCTGCTGGACTCTGGTTCACCTCTGAAGTCACGCTGGTGATCTGAAAGCCACTCCTCTTTTTACCACCACTCATCCTCACACACACACTGACACACAGCACAGAGTGCACCAGTTAATGTGGTTTATGGGGACATTTCAGAGACACAAGCTTAAAAAATTAAACACAATTAAGATGGATTTCTGATCTACAGAGGAGGAGCTTAGGGGTCAAAGTTCAGCACCACAGTCCAGTGTGAGGACACCTGACAGGTGACATTCACTGCTGTCTACGTCCACACAGGACACACTGAGCATGTGCACGTGTGTTGATGTGCATTATGGGGACGTAGCCTCACAATAAACACAGGTAGTCTACATCAGTCGACTAAGTCGTCAGATGCACAGACTTCTGGTACGTCCACATAAAGCACAAAAACTAACACACACAATACACTCGAAGTCCTCAGAGAAGCATGTTCACACCCAGGTCCCCATAGAGCACAGAAACCAACACACACAATACACTCGAAGTCCTCAGAGAAGCATGTTCACACCCAGGTCCCCATAGAGCACAAAAACCAACACAGTGTGTGGAGGCAGCGGTCCGAGTTAAAGCAGTAACGCGTCTCACCCCTCGTGCAGTCTGTCTGTCCAGAAGAGTGCACCGCCCTGCAGACTCTGCTTCTTCTCTACTTCCTGTTCACTCCACCCTGCTCAGCTGTGTTGCTTCAGACTGTTGCACAACACGACTGTGTGTGTGTGTGTGTGTGTGTTTTTAGGTTCTGCAGGGTTTAACCCTTCACTCTCCGGGTCAGGTGAGTTCTCAGAGCTGTGCTGTGATTGGACCACATGATAATGATGATGTTGGTTTCTGAACATGAAGGTGTGTCCGCAGACTTTTGGTCACTTTGCTAACTGACCCTCAAAGCCTGAAACACCGCTTCAACAAAACTTTATTGAGCTTTAATAAAACTGTATTAAAACATAAATTACAGCTTTTGTAAACAAAGTTTTATTTGTTTTTAGTTGTGTGTAATAAACAGTAAGCCCAGCTCCCACCTGTTTGATTTTGATCACACTTCCTGTGTTTCACTTACATTTTTACTTCATAACGTACTTCACCATGTTTGTTTTTGCTGTTTCATTCTGATTTTGTGTCGTTGTCAGAATCTGATTGTACTTCAGATGATGCTGGAGATCTCAGTATACGAGTATCTCATGGTGCAGACGGTTCTGCAGGGACGAGAACTTAAAAAACAGCTTTAATGGTGATGTTCACCCTGCCTGGGATCAAGTTACCGGCCCCGACCTGGAGCCAGACCCGCGAGGCTGCCCGAGAGTCTGGTGGTCGGGCCTTAGTCCATTAGGGCCGGGCACAGCCAAAAAAGGTAAAAAGAGGCCCACCACCCGCAGGAGGCATCGTAGGGGTCGGTGCAGCCCTGGTGGACCGAACCCGGCTACCAAGACTAGTAACTGGGACGAGGAACGTCACCTCCCTGGTGGGAAGCAGCCTAAGTGTGAGTGTCGTCTGCACTTATTTGCGGATCAGCGGTTCTGAGCTTTCCTCGAGTCCCCGGGTGGGGTGCTGGAGGGTTCCCCACCCGGGGACTCTGTTGTCCTGCTGGGAGACGTCAGCGCTCATATGGACAACGACAGCGAGACCTGAAGGGGTGTGATCAGGAGGAACGGCCTCCTGGACCTGAACCCGAGCGGTGTTGAGTTGTTCTGTGGGAACCACAGCGTGTCTAAAGGCGTCCTGCAGCACCGGCGCACCTGAGCCACAGGTCAGTGAAGGTCAGCGATGGACCTGTGTGTATCACCACGCCTGCAGCCACATGTTCTGGACCCTCAGAGCTGACGTTTGTTGCTCCTCTTTGTGTTTCTGTCAAACGTGTTTATTTGTAAACATGTTTGGATTTAAAAGTTACGTAAAGTTCTCAGTAAACACTCACGGTCACGCGCTGAGCCGAGGCGCGCTCCCGCCGCCGTCACTGCTTCAGATCCGGATAAGCAACCGGTGACGTCACAATCGGTCCATTGTGTTCCGACGGGGTGAAAACTTCAGGGCGCATGCGCGGTAGCACGGCCCGACCGTGGAGCGTGCAGGAAGTTAACGGAGTCAGAAGTTGGGGACTCTTCCTCCTCCTCCTCCTCTCCTCGTGCTGTTTCAGGAGCGACACTCTTCTGAGCTGCAGCTTCCTCTTCCTCCTCTTCCTCCTCTTCTTCTGTAAACAAACACCCTGCGCTCCGTCACTTCACGCTCCTCCTCTTCCTCTCCATCCTAACAGCGTGCGCGTTTCTGTACCAGCGCGTGAACGCGCAGCCAGGTCACGGTCCGAGCACCGACGTGCGCGTGCACGACAGACGCCGACAGGGTTAGCGCCTGCGCAGTGGGGACAGAGGAGGGGTCTTTACCGTAAACATGTTGTCAATAAAGTTTGGTTCAAAGTGTATACACGTGTGTGTTTAAACGTGAAAACAAGCGGTTACTGCGCCTGCGTGTCAGCGCTGACCTCGAACCGGCTCAGCTCAGAAATATAATGAATAATAATATAAATCATGCAAATATTAGAGTTCAGATCATTGTCGAATCTGAAGCTTGTGCATCAAAGCATCCCTGTGAGCAGATGTTTGTGTCAAACTGAGGATAAAACAGACCAAGCAGACTTTCCTGGCTTTTTATAGCAGATAACTGCAGTCGATCAAACAGGAAGGTTGGAGATACTTAGCTAGGACTGCTGGGTCTACAGATGTTAACGTCACGGCTTAACGACTGGCAGCTTGAAGGCCTGCAGTACACAGCTGATTATTGGTAACGGTACTGAAAGCTGTAGATAAAGAACTCATGATGATGATGTTCTTCAGACGTGACGCGTCGTTTTCTTTCTTTGCTGCTGCTTCAGTGAATTTCTGTCCGGAGGGATGAAACCTGTGATAGCTCTGCTCTCAGCAGCCGATGAACAGTCTCTGCTTCCTGTTAACAGGCTTTCGTGGAATCCAATTACCGATTAGAATTTATTGAGTATTGCATCATTCGAATTAAGATCAATGTGAATCGTGAAGTGTGTTTCTTTATGTCTCCGGTAACCTCGGCTCTCTGGGGGA